TTTTATTACAAAATTTAAATCACTATCAGTGAAGCCTTAACTCTTAAAAGCTTTACTTTACCATATCATATTGATTCTGAATTCGATATTCGAAATTCTGTTAATAGAGGCCGCACGTCTTTCATTCATAATTAGATACGAGAATAGACTTTTTTATATATTTTTTTTTTCATATAACAATAAATTAAAGCACGGCTCAACTCCCATCTGCATTTGATTTTAAGGTCACTGTTGACGTAAGCTTTAGATGGGCAAAGATAATTAAATTATTGCATACTAATTAGCATCAAACACGCAAGTTCAACGAATCTGTTTCTTGGAAGACAGCTTGACAGAACTTTATAACATGAACTTTGCATTCTGAAGAGGAAGTTGTCATTATTTTAATTTAAAATAAACGATTACGGTCAGTTATCATTCCGGTCCGATATTATAGTTTAGATTCGCAGATTTTCTGATTTAATCATGGAGCAGGTTGTGTAATTTAATTTAACACATTTAATTTAATTTCAATTTATTAGTTACATATTAGAAACATTTTTGAACATAAACATATATATTTAGAAAATATGAATAGGTATTTAGAATATATATTAACCACCAAAATATCATTTGGTATGTTATTCTCGAGATATATTAATGTCGTAATAAAATAATATGTAGTTTTATGTATATAATTAATTATATAAGCATAATATCCTTTTATTATAATGAAATTATAACATGAACTCCATTTATTGATAATCATGGTTATTCTTCATTTATGTCTTAGTGATTACATAAACTATGTTTAATTAAGGCATCTGAATCAATATTTTTTTAATTAGACACCAAAACAAAAACTGGTTTGCAACTATTGCTGGTACAATTAAAAAATTAACAATTTTATTAGAATATAGACAAAAAATATACAAACTGTAATAATTACTTGCTTTTTATTTTGTTTTGATTCCATTCTACGAGTATGTTTACGTTATAGGATTTTTTTCTTTGGCATGACGACCGTTTGCTTTTTTAAGGCGGCGTAGAAATAGAGGGATATATAAGAACTTTATAACTAATATTTTTAGCATTACAAAATGTCAGTGTTCGTCTTATTTTTTTAAATCATTAAAATTATATTAATTTAACAATGTTGTGAGTTTATGCTTCATTGTCAGTTGTTTCACTTTAAATTGACGACCTATATGGCTCCAACTCCGAATTCAAGGTGTCGTCATTTCTAATATCCGAATTCGATTCTCGGTGGGTCAATTCAGAGAATTAACTTTTAATATATAAAATCGAGAAAATATTACTTGGGATCTGGGTGTTGTGATACCTACGTTGTTTAGGATTCCCATAATACAAGCGCTAATAGCTAGTTAATTTGGGGGCTGATCAATATATGTTATTATTTTTAATATGCACTACTTGGTAAGGCTTGATGCAGCCTCAGGAAATTTGCAATCATTTATATTTGGTTTTTTTTTAAATTTGTCTCGAATGTTAGAGAGGGGGCACCATTATCCGACTTGGTTCGAAAAAAAAGGAGATTCTGGACAGTCGTGACGTTTGATTGGAAACTCACGAAAATAGTAATATGCGCCTTAACCATGTACACGCATTCATGTGGATAATGTAACCGGAATACAGTCGGTGTTTCTTTTTTATCACGTTTTTTACGAGGATAACTGGTCGATAACTTCTTCCTGCCCTACCTTTTTCTAGTAATGACTTGTAGGGTTAAAATATCATTCGATTCGTCATAAAAACTTGTGTGATGTAATTACACTAGACTCGTACAGTTTGCTAATATCCAAAATGAACCTGATACTTAATTGTAAGTGTTCATTAATAAACGAATTCTTTATGTAATTAAATTATTTTAAACTTTTTTGTTTTGATATTATAAATTTCTGTTTAATTAGGACATGTCTTTGAATGTTTATCCTCCAATAATAATCTGAAATTAGTTCGATTCGCATCTAGTAGAGAGTCCATAATATAAAGATATTAGACCCAAATAAACCATTTGCTAAACTAAAACAAAAAACTTTTAATTTGAATTTACATTCAAATTAAAAGTTTTTTGTTTTTTCATGTATATTCATTTATCATGTATAATCTAAGAAATATAATAAACTATCTTTAAACCATTATAATTCAAGACTACTCCTGTTCTCTTAGATGTTTGAAGAAAATTATAAAAAATGTAGTCTTACAGAATTAGAACTAAATTTAGTTTAGGTGACATAATATACCTACACTACACTTTTAGGTAATAACAACTATCATTAACGCTTTCGCAAAAAAAATGAAAAATTAATTGCAAGCTGTTCGCGTGATGAATTTGTGCGAACAACTCTACGAATAAGAAATGTATTACACTTATTTTTTTTCTGTGCTTAAAGATATCATTTATATAAAAACAAACCGACTATGGGAAACAGGATGTGTTAAATTAGTAAGAAACAATACAGCTTCAAATAGAGTTATTTATCTCACTGTATCTCATGTACTGACTAACTACTTTACATATAACAAATGTAAATTTTTTGTTCCTAAACGCAACTCCACCCAGTACAAAAATAGGATATACAGATCCTTCTTAGCCCCAAATGTTAGTAATTATAGCATCAATTTGTTACTATCTAAAAATTATGATATTGAAAAACATTAGATTTAGAAATAATTATTTCTTATTATTATAAATCTTATTCTCACGCGCACTATTCATTGAATAAAACTACTCTTAATCTAGTAATATAGTCTATATACTAAATCAAAATATAGTATGGAGATAGACTAATAATCTTGTCCGGTCAGGTACCTATAGAAGATAATATGAAAAATGTAATAAGTTTTCAAAAATACACTGGATAAAACTGTTTGTAAGAAGTTTTGCTTAAACAAATTCTCATGGATTTTATGATCGAATAACTGATATCGCATTGTATTTATTTAGTTTTTTATTAAAATCTACATTTAGATATGTAGACAACAATAAGCGACCAAATGCTCTAGCATAATTGTCGACGTGTATGATTTAATTACGCGACTAGCTTTGCGACGCGATTTAATAACAAATAATTGTGGTGTTTTCTGTCGCAACCAGTAATCTGTCGTCATCTTGAAGTCGGGTTCGATTCCCAGTTGATTACATGTAAAAATAAACTATTCTATGATGTCCCATGTCTAGATTTTGTGGTACCTAAGCTATGAGTAGGTATTTCAGATTTCTTTATAACGACAGCTTTACTTACTTAGTTTGGAATCTGATCTGGATTTATTGATTTTAATAAATGTTTAAATTATGTCACATATTTGTAATATTATTATCGTCGAATTTATAAAGTTAGAAACTGATCTAGGCGGAAAGCTGAGCGGCCACAAGGTCACTGTCCTCGCTAGAGAGCTGGCCGCAACATTATTGGCGACATTAACTACAGCAAAAAAAAATCGGTAACCGTCTATTTTTGCTATGACTAAGTTAACTTGAAAAATACTTTTAAATACAATTTATACTAATAAAACATAAAAGAGCCTTTTATTTATATACTATTAAAAGTCATAGGAGAATTATAAATGGATAATTATGAGCATGAAGAAACCGTTATAGATCAAGAATTTCTATAACAGCTTGACTTGACCCATCATCATCATCACCAGCCTTTTATATCCCGTATGGATTAGGCCTCCCTTATGGATTTTTAAGGAGGATGGACCATGACCCCTCACGCTGGCCCAATATTGGAGACTATATTGATAACTTGGATTGGAGGATATCAACGACTCCAAATTCAGCCGGGATCAACGGCTTACCGTGCCTTCCGAAGCACAGAGTAGCTCGGGATGATAATTTTTTGATCATTCATCCCGTGATCGACGCTTGCGATAGTTACTTAACAATAACGATCGATACACTTAACTCACATGAATCTATTATGTATGACCTGAGAGAGAATTAATCCCATGTAAGGCGAGGTGTTAGGTGAGCACAAAGACGACGACAACGACGACATATAAGTAGTGTGCGAGCCACTCAATTCATTTAAAAGTTCTCATGGCGAGATCTCGTGTCGGCATCGATTTTTTATTGAATTCCAATTTGCAACATTGGAGCGCAAGAAAGCATCGTGCCCGCCAACATGTACTATAATATCTTATGACACTAAAGCTACTCATGTCACGGATATAAACAAACTGGAATGGACTATTGTGTTGTACCGAATTCAAGTTCAAATGAATAACAGTTCTTTTGTATGAACACACTTTGAATTCATTTTGATCTTTTGTTGCGGACTTTTTACAAGAATGACGGCGCAGTATTGAGTTGATTTGACACAGAAAATCTCGTGTTACATACAATGGATTGTATAATTTATTTCAGAGTATTTATGCAGGAAAAATATCTGATTTTATTTTACATTATTAATTATATACGGAAAAAAACATTATAAGTGCTAAATTTTTTTCTTATGATTTATCATCAAGCCACATTTAAATATTAAACTTGAATTTTAGAATTTTTATTTTATGCTATAAAATTTTTATTTTTATCTCTAACCTTAGTACGTTTAAAAAAATCTTGAACGGGCTACAATTTTTATTGTATATTAAAAATGTAGATACTGAAAATAATAAGAAAAATATTTGGGCCTATTTTTACCAAAATTTTGCAGAATTGAGGATGTATGAAATTTGGAACAATTATATGAAGAAAAGGTGCAGAATCTTAATGTTATTCCTATTATTTTATATATAAATATACATATTTTATATATAATATTAAACGAAATGTTTCTGAATACGTAATGTAATGGAAAAAAATACATTTGTATTATTTTACCAAAATGAGAAAAAAAAATATTCATTTTACCACATATAAACATAAATCACTCAAATATTGATGTAAACAAAATAGGATAAACTCAAGACAACAAAATAAACTGTATAGATATTGCCAAACAGTTATAGTGAACTAAGCTTTCAGATTGAGCAAGAAATGTTGTACATACTACGTGTTTGTCGTTGAGGTGATGGTGGTTCGCCCCGCGGGCTATAGGCGGGGTCCCGGCGAATGGCAGGCCAGCACTCGGTGGCTGTAACCAGATCGCACCGATTATCATGCGTACGCGCAATCTCGAATACAAACTCTCGCACAGCTATCCGCACAGCTTCACCGTAAACAATTGACGATTGACACAAATGTGCGCTTCCAGAATGAAGAAGATCCATTGTTTCTTTTTTGTGAAATAAAAAATATATGTCATATTTAGCTTAATTAGTTCTTGTTACAATGAGTAGACAATATTTAATTTAAACAAACTACATTACTAAGTTTCATAGTATATTTGGTTAGCTTGTCTAATTAGTCTCTCTCATTGTACATATTTTATTAAATTGCAAAATCGCAATCGTACTTATAATGTGCTTATATGGGTGCTTATGTAATTGTAATTTATGTAATTGCTTATGTAATTGTGCTTATATGGGTGTGTTTTTCTATAATTTACAATATTTGGTAAGCAATAAAATTGTGTAAACAACAATATTGAAATTTTTTTAAGAGTTTTCTGAGCGTAGTTGAGGCCACCGCTATTTCTTAAAGAAAAGCTAGTAGGTATAAAGCTCATAAATATATTTACGAACAGCGAATGTGCAATACATAATTTAAAAATGGACTCCGTCTACTGAACCCGCTCCCAGTCAAGTATGAGGAATTGGTCCACATAATCCCAGGGCGGCTGACTGCAATTAATGACAAATGCAACACATCTTTAAAAATAAATAAGCCCAAACAACACGTATAATGAGAACGGTGAAAAACAAATTTATCTATATTGGCACTGGCAACACGATGTCGTTGTACCAAATGAATCACCGCTACTTGTTAAATATCACTTACTCTTTGGTAAAGGGATCGTGAATTTTAAATGAAGAATATTTGAAAGAATCATATAAGGGATTCCACGTGTGTTTTCTGTATACATATTATACTACTAGCTTTCTGCGTTATCTATATAAAGAAGTAATGTAGCCTAGTCGTAGGTAGACTATTTAACTTCGACGCTAATACTTTCGGGTGAACTTAAAAACATTATTGCTGAAAATGGATGGATTTCAATCTTGTTTCATCCACGGCGAATATTCATTATCGCCATTAAAATGTATCTTAAAGTCATTATATAAAACAAAATCGAAAATAGCAAATAAATAAATTATTTTTTTAAATAATAAGACACCTAATCTGTTTCTTACACCCATCCACGTCTATTTACGTAATAACCTAATAAGAACTCTGCTGTTTCATGTCCAGACCGCAAAATGAAGTAAAAGTGTCATTAACTATTGCCACATAATTGGACTTACGTTTAAAATATGTACTAATCTTATCTAAGTAGCAACATTTATTTAAAAAAATATATATTAAAATTAAATAACTTCGCTATAAAGCTTCATGTTTTTTCTTCTTCGTAAGTTATTTAAAGGTACGTTAACCAATTAAGCACTTCCTCTAAAATCTGGACAGCAAAAAAGGACAAGTATTACTTTATATTTAATCTAATGCCATGGCCCAAAAAAAAAGGATTCACTTCGAAACAAAATTTGAACTTATAATTCCCTAACGTGTCGTTGCTAAATCCATGACGCAATCTTTATATTAACGATATTTCAAATCCGGTTTAGTTTCTCAAAGTTTGAATCCTAAAGACCTTGATAAGCGGCGGCGTAGATTGGGATATAAGAAGATTACGATTCCTTCACAAAAAAAAAGTAGTGTTCATAATCTTAACACAAGAAATAATAATAAACTTGCCGTTCCAAGCTTCAGACTTCAAAAAACCAGAGGATCATTTCTGGGTAAATGTATTGCTATGTTCAATAAAGTTCCACAAAATGTAATCGACCTACCCATAAATAAATTTCAAATTCATGTAAAGAATATACTTATGAGTAAAGGCTATTATAAAGTTGACGATTATTTGAAAGACCGCAATGCATGGAATTAATAGCCTTCGCTCTGTTCTATAACGATTAATTATAGATATGTACCAACCTATGTCCTACAGACTTTGAATCTTGTATTTATTATTGTTCAATATATGCATTAGTTATGTAATGACAGGATTTATGTAAATGATCATAATTACTTATGATAAAAGCTGGTAAGTTTCTTTTGCTTGTTCTTCTTGTCAGCTAAAAGACGTCCTGAGCAAGTGGTAGGGGAAAAAATATTTTTGGACGATTTAAAAGTGCTTGTAACAAGCTTACTTGAATAAAAACATTTTCATTTCATTTCAGTGAAGACAATTTATTATGAGAGTGATTACCGAGGTGCAAGATCATTTTATTACTGTCCGAAAAGATGGACAACCCATTTTAAAATAATTTATGCTTTCGATCGATTTGAAATATTTCTTTAAATTATGTTTAATATTACACCAATTTGTAAAAACATCAATAAAATTTCTCATTTTAAGAATTCTTACATTAACGGTTATTTATCATATTTGTGTTAAAAACGTAGATAACGCATTTATTTATATAAAGCATCCACATCAGTATTCTATCTACGTTTATAGTTCGTTTTTGCACACTAAAGTTTGATTAATATGATTTTTTTTTTCCTAATTAAAAACCACCTCAAGGAAGCAATTCTACGTCGAAATATTTAAATGACTAGTTAATATTTGTCTCTTGGCGTCATGACATTACCGAAATTGTTATGTCAACAACACAATGGAACAAAAACTTATTTAAATCTCAGTGTCGGATTTTCATTAAATTAACTATTGTTGTGTGTGATTTTTGTTGGGCAGACATTGTGCGTTTTACAAGTATTCATTGGCTATAATGTTTTTTTCCGGTCACTTAAAACATTGCACACTAATTAAAACTTATTTAATTAATAAAAAATATTCTAATTAAAACAAAAAAAAGGAGGCTTGGGTAATTTCATGTATCATAGTGATGATACAAAATTTTATAACAAAATTTAAAAGCTAGTATAGATTAACTACCACTGAAATTTCTTCGAAGCTCACAATTTTATTAATATCACAATTCAATAAATGAGATTCTGCTACCGTAACTTTTAAAAGAATTCAAACATTAACATCATCCGCTCATTACCCCCACTGCTAGGGTACAGGCTTTCGTTATGGAGAAAGCAACAGATGGAACGGACTATAACCCACCAGACGAGCCCAACGTAGATTGCTAAATGCGAACAATTGCACTTACACCAGAGATCTTTAGATAGGTGACACAAAAAGCATAAGTGAGGATTGAAATGTAATGAGAATAACTTGGATACGCCCTATAAAGAAAAAATAAGTCAAGTTTCTAGAAAATACTTTAAAATGAAGTTGAGATGCGTCCCATCTAGGGCTCCTGGGTTTGAAGATAATAATAAGTTAATTATCATTACATCATTTCAAGCACAAATTTTACGAAATAAATAAAAAAAGTGTGAAAAAGTAAAAGAGTGAATTTTCAGATACACTGAGAAGTGTGGAAGGAGGAGTAAACTCCAAATGAAAGAAGGACAAAGGTAAGCAAATTCAAAATTAATAAAAAATTCGCCATCTGCTTAATCACGTATATCGTCAGGTCAGAGGATAAATAAGTATTATCAATTATCCTTCATATTATTTTTATGGTTGAAGTAATTACAAGCACGGAAACTATTATGTGCAGTAATAACAAATCTTAAATGACGCTAAGCGCATCTCTGATCATATCATACTCTGATAAAGTGGTTCCGCTAGCAACAAAACAATAGTGAGTCGTATGCTTTGTTATACACACTATCGTATAATTTAGATTTCCAAGAGACATGTTAGTCTCCACTGAAAATAACATTGGAGAGGCCAACTTTTATGATTCTTTTTAACATTCATTTTGTAAAAATGGACGATAATAAATTCTAAAGAAAATGAGAAATACGTACACAATTAATCGATGTGTTATTCGGTTATACAATAAATGTTTAATCATGAAATATATGTATCTGTACTTGAATCACAAGAAATATATTAATAATAGCTTGGTCATACGCTAATAAAGAAATGAATCAGAAGGGAGGAACATATTTATTTTATAATTCAAACATTTCAAAGTACGCCTAATCAGGTAAAACATTTATTTATTACGGTAGTACCTAAATCTTTCCGACCTTTGAACACATTCATTGTCAGGTATGACAACTGAAATACTGAACCTGTATGTGGCTGTAATATTTGACGGAGTCGAGTCGAGTCGTTTTTTGTTCAGTCCACAAATCTACATACATATATAAAAGGCGAACCCGACTGACTTATATATCAACACACAGGCAAAACTATTAATTAATTGTACCTAAACTACTACTTAGAAACTTAAAATTTGCTACAGAGGTTCCTTTCATGATTTAAGTGAGCACAAATAAATATGTTTAGTAATTCATCCCTTAAGTGGGTGAAATGGGGAATTGAAGCTTATTACGGTTATCGTTTAAGTTATATAAACCACGCGGGCGAAGCTGCTGGCGGAAACTAGTTAACTAATAAATTTTGAATAGCCGTAATGGTGGCATCAGAAACTTCGTTTCCGAAATATACTGAATAGGTACAAATGAATACGGGTTAATTCTCTCGCGACTTAATGTTATGTATCTTAACGTTACTCCTTTGTTTGTCTACCCAAGGTATCATAACTGCAGCATCACAAACTTGTTTAGAATTAATTACCGTTGATTAATTGTTTAGAGGTCAGTTACAGGATAAAAACTGTGTCTGTTCAAGAAGATTTTGTATTCTCAACAATGCATTTCTGTTCGCAAAAAAATATCAGTTGCAATAACAAATATCACCGGCCCCTAGATGGGACTCGAACCCACAGTCTTTCGCAATCCTGGCGACTGCTCTAACATTGATTAATCCGAGACCAAATGGGCCTGACAAATTAGTCAAGCACTTGTTCTCTTCCCTACTAGTGTATAATATTTTCATAAATTTTAAAGCAATCTACCTAAACAGCAAAATTTATCAAATAGTTTTTTTTTATTTTTATTAAAAACGTCGTTGAAAATGCTAATTAAATTCAAGAAGAAAACAGT